AACAACAACAACAACAACAAAGCACCATTGCTTCTTGACTATAAGTTGTTTCCTGAAATTCTTCTGTGTCACTCAGTTCTTTGTGGTGACTGTGTACTCCTTCCATCTTTTGATGTTTCCTGGATCATCTGATATTCTGCCCATAGCAATCTTAAGTACTGCAATTTAAGGCTTAAATTTGTTCTTTAGTTCCTTGAGCTTAAGAAATGCCGAGCAAATTTGACCCTTTTGATTTTCTGACTCTAGCTCTTTGCACATTTTATTATAATACTCTGCTTTGTCTTCCTGAACTGCCTTTGAAATCTTCTGTTCCGCTTCTTAACCTCTTGATTTCTTCCCTTTGTGTTGGTTTCTCAGCACTCTAGTGCAATATTCAGAGTCTCTTCCAACATCCATCTCAGTCTTTTCTTCCTCCTTTGTCTTTGTAACAAGATTTTGCATTCTTCATGGATAATATTCTTGATATTCTCCCACAGCTCATCTGTTCTTAACTCATTAGTGTGTAAGGCCTCAAATCTGTTCCTGAGATAGTTTTTTTATTCAGGTGGGATAGACTCGGTAAAATTTTGGTTCTTATGGATTTGATTTCATTTTCTTTAGCTTCAGTTTGAATGTGCATATGAGTAGTTGATGGTCTGTTCCACAATTAGTACCTGGTCTGGTTTTCACAGCTGATATTGAACTTCTCTAACGATTCTTTCCACTTTGGCTCTGTTTATTGGTGCATATATTTGATTGATGGTGGTATTGACAAGTGTTCCTTGTATGCCTATGGATATTATCTTGTCACTGACAACGCTGCATTTCAAGATGGATCTGGAAATGGTCTTTTTAACAATGAATCCAACTCCATTTTTTCCTCACCTTTTCATTTCCGGCATAATACACCATATAATTGTCTGATTAGTAGGTCAACATTTATGCATTCCATTTCTCCCTTAATAGCCAATTTACCTGCATTCATGGTTCCATGTTCCAATAACTAATGTCTGCTACTGTTCCTTCTCTGTGTTTGCCAACCAGAAAGCTCAGCCTCAGGTGCCGTATCTGCTAGTTTAATTTAAGTTTGCTCTAGGGTGCATTTTCCCCTAGAAATTATTAGGGATTGAATTATGTCCCCCCAAAAGCCATGAATGTCCTTATTCTAACTTGTAACTATGAGTTGGCTTGGAAATGGTTTTCTTTTGAGGCCATACCAGAGTTGGGTAGGTCCTAAACCTTGTTCTTTCTGCAAGCTGTTTTATAAAAGCACAGAACAGACAGAGACAGACGGACAGACACACACACACACACGGGTGAGGGACCATGTGAGGAATCCTCTGCAAGCAAAGGAATGCCAAGAAAAAGCCGCGGCTACAGAAGCTGAAAGAGACAAGGATCCTCCCCAGAGCTGACAGAGGGAGACGCTCACCATGCCAATACCTTGAATCCTGATTATTAGCTTTCTAATCTGTGAGAAAACAAATGTCTGTTCTTCATAGGCAACCCACTTGTGGTATTTATGTTACAGCTTGCTCACTCTCATGGCTGTCAAGTTGGGATTGACTTTCCACTGGGCTTCTGGGGGACATAATTACATGGGATGAGGTTTCTCATCTATGTCCTGATGAGTTTATGGTGGATTCAAAACACCACTGTGGGTTAGCAGCCCACCTCCCTATGGACTAAGCCACCAGAGCTCCCAACTCTGAATGATTAAGAATTCCAGGGGAAAAAACCCACAGACCACCAAAAACCTCAGTTATATTATGTCTAATAATCTTCTGATTGGTGCCTGAGAAAAAACCAGAACACTTTGTTGTTTGGTACCTTGGTTAATTGTTTCTCTCTGCAATGGTGGCAGACGTAAGCTGCTGTCTAGTAAACTGATTAATGAGTATTATGGCTGGCTAATGACTCATTCTCAGCACCTATTGGAAGTTGGGGATACCCTGGGGCAACACATCCTAGTCTAACCCTTAAGCCATAACCAGTTGCTACTGAGTTCACTCCTGTGCAACCATGTTTTCAATGGCTGAGTTTTCAGAAGTAGGTTGGTAAGCCTCTGGCTGGATTTAAACTATCAACCTTTTGATCAGGGCTGAATGTGTTAACCATGTACCACCCAGGGACTCCTCTAATATATACATTGTTGCAGGGCCTGTTTCTACTCATAGCTACTCGACCCTCCATTTGGTTTCTGAGGCTGTGAATCTTTATAGGAGGAGAGGGTTAATTTTCTCCCTTAGAACAGCTAGTAGACGTGAAATGTTGACCTTGTAGTTGGCAATGTAACTCATCATGCTCCTTCTTTAACATAGAGAACTAACAAATAAAGGGAGTTCTCTGCAACCTAAGAAAGAATGAAAGAGCTTCCTGACTCTCAGGAGGGAATGGTCCCCATGACATGCTGTTTAACGAAAGGGACTGAGGCAGAGCAGAGTGTGTATATACATATACACAAGAAACTGCTGACCTGGCTGACACGTGGCTGGGGGCTTTGAACTGTTACCTCTTTTTATATCTGTGAATTTTGTGACTTGTGAATGCACTGTCTTTCAAAAAAAGATGTTACAAGTTTTGCCTCCTTGGAATAGCCCCTTGTGGGAGATTTTCACTCACTGCCGCAGAGTCTGAACTGACTCACAGCCGACTGATGCTGAGAATCGCAAGGGAGGAGACTGCCCATCTTTCTCTCCCAGAGCAGCTGGGTTTGGGTGGCCAGAGGTGTGACCTTTGGGTGAGCAGTGCAGCTACCTCCCAACTAGGGGACCAGAGCTTCTGTTGGGGAAAATGGGACGTGATTGTAGACTGTCGTGTGGTAGATAAAATCAGACAAGGCTGGAGGGACAACATGCCATTCAGGAGGAAACGAGAGAGGGGATAGGGAGGGCTTTCTTAAAGGGAGGGAATCTGAACTGTACCCAGGAGGACTCAGAAAGGGGAAGCTGTTGGGGGTGGAGGCTGAAGAGGGGAATGTGGTCCAGGCAGACCAAAGCGAGCAGGACCTTGGAGGGGCAATGCAGCCCGCTTACCTTTGCTTGGTGTTCTATCTTGTAAGCAGTTTGTTGAAACTGGCGAATCTCTCGGATAATATGTGATATCTGTGGGAAGGAAGGAGAGCTTTAGAAGATAGCCGCCTCCGTTGGTGCCTCTCTTCCACCACTTTGAGGAACTGCAGAAGTGGGGGCATCCACAGTGAAGCACCAAGTCAGTGTCTTAATTCACATAATGTTGCCTCCTAGCAGATCCCACTGGGACAGTATCATGTCCCTTAAATCAGCAGTTAGCTTTCCAGGGTGATACTTATCAAGACCCTATAGGTTAATTAGGGTCCATGATTGAGTAGGGGGAAAAAAATTCTCATTTACTCAGTGGTGTGAACCATGTGGCATTGCTAAAGCATAGCCCTAGGGGCTCCCCAGAAGTTATAGGCACCTCTTAAGCTGAGAGAGCCACTATGTCTAAAACATGATGCTTGGGGACTTTCATCCTGTTGATAGGACCATGACTCAATTTATGTCTGACAGAAGAAACTTCTTATCAAACAAAATCTTATGTGGAGGCCCAATTTACAAAACAGGTACAACTGGAGACTCAGTGGTTATAAGCTGGTGTAGTAGGTTAAATGTTGATCAGCAGCTGGACCCACAAACCACACAGAGGGTGACAGGTGAGGCAGTCTGTTCCTGTGAAGATTTACGGCCTCAGAAACCTACTGGAGTCCCCACGCGTCAGAAATGACTTCATGGTGGTGGTTTGATTTCCTCTGGTGGCAGGAAGATATGTAGGGCAGGGCATGCTTAGAAATCTTGCTCTGTCCTCAGGAGGTTCACCTTATCCCCAACTCCTGGAGAAAACGTAAAAACTACTGTTTAGGAAGTCCTGCATATCAGCTACTGATTTTACTTCAACTGCATAAAGCAAGTGTTTGTATGAACAATGGAGCCTCTGGGTGGTACAAGTGGTTAATGTGCTGTGCTGCTGAGGGAAGTTTAGAGGTTCAAGTCCAATCAAAGCCCTCTGGAAGAAAGGCCTAGTGATCCAGTGAAAGAACAAACAAAACTCAGCCATGAAAAACGCTGTGAACAAAAACTATCCCTGAAGTCTTCCTAAAAGCAAACAATAGCTGTTAAAAAATGTCTGCCTCGAGCATTATGCTCTCCTCAGAACTTTTTACACAGGATCAAACGGACACCGAAACTCCATAGTTAGGAAAACAATAACAAAAACCAAAACTAAAACCAGACATCTTTTATTAGAGGGCAGTGAATTTATGTTAATGGGGGAGAAAAAGTCAGAAGAGGAGGGTTAGAATGGCTGTACAAATCAACGTCACAGAACTGTACCGGGAGGAGCTGCTGAACTGGTGTATGTTTTCATGTAATTGGCATGTATTTTCAACAACAACAAAGTAAATAAAATTTCAAAAGATCTTAAATAAAAGAAAACCCTACAGAACATGTTCTGTGCTGACACACATTGGGTCGTCACCAGCGTCAACTCCACAGCAACTCCCACACCTTTTTTTAAAATAGCAACATCTGATGGGATGGGGAAACCCTAGCAGCGTAGTGGTAAGAAGTTGCGCTGCCAAACCAAAGGCACGCAGTTTGAATCCACAGAAGAAGGATGGGTAGTCCCTCTCTGTGCAATTTACGGCCTCTAAAAACCCTCTAGAGGGTCAGCTGTGGGCTTGTTCTGACTCAGGGGTACACAACAACAACAGCAGCAACCTGATGGGACGAGAAGCACATGCTCCCTGTGGTCACTGACCCTGGGCCAGCTGGACTGCAGTCCAAGTCTAAAGGAAAGAGGGGAAAAGCTTCGGCTTTGGAGGTGGAGAGATCCCCTGGCTCTGCCCTTTATTTGAGGGTGACCTTGGGCTGATCACTTGGCCTTTCTCCCCCCAGACTCCATCTGCTGCTCATCCATAAGGTGGAGAACAGAGGTGGAGCTAGGCTGCGGAAGGTCTGGCACGTGCCCTGGGCGCCACGTGAGGAGAGACACCCATTAGCAATGTCTATTGGCCATCAGTTTCCATTTCCAGCTGTAAGAGATTATACAGGAATTTAAAACTAATTGCTATGGGTGTCACATTTCCTAGATATGGCAGAGAATAAGAAGAGAATCCATCTCTTCAACTGCCAGGATTAAAGGTGACTCAGGGCCTGTCAGATACAAACTGTTCATTAATGAGAGCAAGCGTGCCTACGGGGAAGCGGCTTCAGGCTCAATGCCCCGTCCCTGGTGTGCATGGCCTGCTGGGCAGAGTGAGCGTGGGCCCAGGACTGGAGTCTGCGTGTGGACCAGACCACCCCCACCCCACCCTGCTGTAGCAAACGCACCATTCTCATCTTTGAGAAGTTGACCAGCCCATCTTCTGTGTAGTTGGGTGTCCCCTCTTCGATGAAGGCCAGGTCGGTGAGGTACATCCCCAGGTAAGGGACACATGGAGGGTCACAACTTCAAAGCAAACGGCGTTAATGACAGTTTTCCACTTAAAAACATTAGACTTTGCTAAGAACAGAACTTCCCACATGCAATTTTTTTCTCTTTGCTGGAGCGAAGGGATTGCTTTTCCCTGAGAACGATGGTAATGCTGCAGGGCCTGGGCGTGTGGAGCAGGTCTAAGGGTCAGTCCCCGGGGTGGTGCGGGCCATGTGGTGCTCACTGAGGCCTTCCCCATGGGCAAGGCCTTCCTGGTCAGATGTTCTCTTCCTCTATGAGCCAGAAGGTCCTGCTTGACCTCTGTGCCTTCCACCCGACTTTGCCCCTTTAACACTGACCAAGACGCCTGCTGTTACCAGTCCCTTCCCAGCCCACCTTTCCTCTCTGTCTCACCATGGAAATGCTCCATCCAAAGATTGCTCCCAAGAGGGCTTTCCTGTTCCACCTCAGTCCTACCAGTCACCACCAGTCACATTATGCAGCCCCTTTGCCACCATCTACACTGGGTCACATATAGCTCTGAATGAAGGGTTCCTGTTACTGCTCTGTTCTGGTGTTGACAGGTGGGGGGTGTCCTGATGTCCCTGGGTGAGTACTAGGGAAGGGGTGATTCTGTGTTGGGGTCTAATGGCTTCTCTATTTTAGGAGGGTATCATTTAGCTCCTTCTGAGGAGCCCTTCCCTGCCCTTCATAGGCTCCCTTGAGCTCAATATATACATGCAGGAGACTTTGATTTCCGCCCATCTGATTGTGGTCTGCTCAAGGCCACCTGCCGTTCCTGCCACTCTAGAGGAAGGTGAGGCAGAAGAGCTGGTAGAACATGAACAGAAACCCCTACTTGCTGTGTGATCCTGGGCCAGTTCTTTTCCTCTCTGTTCCTCAGCCAGAAAAACACTAAGACAATTTCAGGTGACCTGACAACTGATGTAATGACATTGGTTCCTATGGTGAGAAAGGTGCTAGATTTTTCATTTCTCCAGCTTGTTCTCAAGGAGAAACCACAGCCTGTTGGTAGTATGGCTTGACACTTTTCCTCACCAGTTTCTTTTATTTTTCCTTTTTTTATTTTGAAAAAAAATTAGCTACAGGCTTTAGGATCAGAGCTGGTAAACATCAATACATTATGACTGTTTTGTTTTCACATCATTTCTTTTTCATCATAATGCTATATTTATGGAGAGGATACCGATTCTCCTCTGACAGTCATGATAAAAAGTCTGTCTAAATTTTTTAAAAAGTAAGTTCATTCAAAGTAGACACAAATGCATAAGCAAAAGGAAAGTCAGCAAGTGGACATGACAATTTGTGCAGGAGGTGGACACCTGACATCAGGGAAACAGTGGAATGGTGGGTGGTGAACTTCTCATAAATGTTGAAATAATTTTGTTAAGTCTTGGCCAGATTTGTAGTAAGAGGGTAGGGGGAGGAAAAGGAGTAAAAAAAGGAATTATGGGAGTTCACGATACCAAAAAACAAGTCCATGTCGTGTGAAACTGTGTCCCTGTTATGCATAGATACATGTGCACAGTGGGTTGCAATGCCATATGTATTCTTACTGTGGGTTGTGATTAAAAGAGATCACATTGACTGTTATTGTCAGAACTTTTGGAGTTTTTGTGGTCTCTGCAGTCATGGATTAGAGCTGCTCAGCTTTCCAGTTCCTTTCCATTTCCCCCCTATTCTGAAGTATGAGACTTGTGGCTCTGATGGAGAAATAATTTGAAGACCTGAGAACCTCTCTGGGGTTAGAAGGCTGAGGTGGTTTGTTGATGGGCAGCCTCTGAATGGTCTCTTGCTGTGCACATCTCCGCATGGGCCCTGGGCTCATGAAGAACCTCTCTTCATCTACTGGAGAGAGATGGGAGGCCAAGTGCTGGGAAGCAGACCATGCACAGTGGAAGGGTCAGAAGGCCTTCTCAGACTTGGACCACCCAAACCAGTGAAAAGCCTTACTATGGGGCTCAGGTGTGGATGTATCTGGTAACTGTAGTGGAATTCTCTAAGGTATTGAAGTTCATGACTCAGTTATCATCTAGTCATTTGTAAGTGGCACCCCAACCCCAGAAACCAAACATCTGTCTCTGTTTACTACCTTTGTTGTGAAGAGCCTCAGTAGAGGGAAATGGAGAACACACAATCAATTCAATGACACACAGATACAAAATTCAACAACAACAACAACAACAACAACACACACACACACACAAACACACACACACATGTCAAGACCAACCAACTGAAATCCAGAGCCATGCTGGTAGGTGGAGAGGGTTGTCAGAGTGGCAGAGGGGTTGGGGTCAGGAACAGAGGGCTGGCAGAGGGCAGAAGGGCACCACAGTGAGGGGGACTCGAACATGATGAGCATCTGAATGAAAGGGAAACGTGAAGTCAGGGGGGCAGAAAGGAAGACACCCCTATACCTGGCTTCCTCTGAACTTCCTGTGCGGTGATCTGACCTCTCTCATGGGAGATCCCACCTCTCCCTCAGTGAGCCCACCTAACACAGCTGAATGGAGGGATTCCTGTTGGTGATCTGACCTCTCCCGGGTGGGATCCCACCTCTCCCTCAGTGAGCCCGCCTAATACAACTGAGTGGATGGATTCCTGCAGGCAGAGCCCCTGGACTGTTTGATATTTCAGGGAGCAGAGGGAAGTGCTCCCATTCATTCTCAAAGCTGCCTCTGATTCTCTGGTGACCGATGGCATTGTCAATAGTTGTCTGAAGCCGCCTTCTCCTCACCTCACCCCACTGTGCTGTTTCTAGGTATCGAGAAGCTCCTGTTTCTATCAAGTAGAATGGCAGACATCAAGTGGGGTCAGCTACTTTAAGCAAGTTATACATCTGACCTGTACTGGACCCCAGGACAGGGCTGGTAACAAGTACCTGCATCTACCTGCCTTTTTCCTTCTCCTGTTTCTGAATGGCCCATCTTGTGGGACAGGCCCCTTTCTCTGCTGCCTCTGGTAGAGGATTGCACCTCTCCTTCTTGCGGTATGTGAAGAACATTAGTGGAGGGAGCAGAGTTCAAGCCTACTTTTTGCCTCCTGTCCACTGACTGCTTATCAGGAGAAGACCAGGCCTTTACTACGTACCACAGGCAGGAAACATACAGTCAGCATTCTCAGAGCCCTTGTGAACTCTGGAACTTTAGCCTTGGCACCCACTGCATCCCCAGGGCTGGCTGACATTGCACCCCATTTGGAATCACCTCAGGGATAGCGCTAAAGCTAGCTGACTGGCTCTTCCAATGCTATTTCTCCCCTTAATTTCGGGGAAACAAGAGGCTAAAGCTTTTAATGCACCATGAAATCTTGCCCCCTTTGTTTCTTAAATCAAGCACTTTCTAGTCAAGTGAAAGACAAAAGGTGCAGCTAATCAAACATTCAAATTTATGTTGGGTTTAGAGATTAGATGAGTTGGGCAGAACCAGAAACCAATTTCAAAGCATATTTTACCACTGAAGTGTATTTTCTGCCTTTTTTGCAGCATGGAGCTGAGGAAAGGCTCTGGTCACTAGGGAGCTGAGTGGAGGGGACAATCCCATGTGCTTCAAAAGAGTATGGGTTTAAAAGGGATAAATTATTAGGTATTATTGTCATCAAGGAGTTCAGCATGAAGGCTGCACAGTGGCGTGGACTTGGGGGGGGGACTGTGTAACAATGAAAGAATTTTTCTTTTACTTTTCAAAGAGAAAAGCAAATTAGGGGGGAGGGGTAGGCAGGGAGAAAAGTGCAACAATGAATGAATGGGAATCCAAAGCCTCTGTAAACTTTCATTAAAATAAATAATAATAAAAAAGAGTATGGGTTTGGGGCATGAGAAGTGGAGGTAAAGTCATGCTTGGGATTCCCCAGGCAGGAGACTGAGGGACACACACACACACACACACACACACATGAGAGGGGCTAGGGGAAGGAGTGATGTAGGATTAGGGGTGAAGTCTTCAAACAGGGGAGAGAGACTGAAATTTTAACAAGAGACTGAAAATGATGCCTGGGCCATATAACTGGGCTGTGAATCCACAGGAGAGCCCCACCACAGGGCTTCTTGTCTGGGTGCCTCACCAACCATGTCCACCACACTGCTGCCTCCATCTTTGCCCACTCTCCACTGCCTGGCTGGCTGGCTTCCTAGAGCTCATGGCAGCAGCACTCCACGTGAAAGCCTTAGAATCTTAGCAGAAAGGTTTGAACATTTGCCCCAAGTTTGCATATTCCCAACTTCCTTTTAGACTAGGCCTAAACCTCCATACACAAAACCCTGGCTTGCAAAAAGGTCTCAGCTCCCAGACATCCTGTGCTGCAGAAGCAGAGGTGTCTGGGAGCGACACTTACACAGGCCCAAAGGGAACCTGAAAGAGGGCAGACAGTCAGGACGGGGACTCAGAGACAGAATGGGGGGTCACGGAGGCAGTGGAGGCGGCAGTGGAGGCTGCTGCAGACGAGGAAGCCATGCGAAGGAGGCAGATGGAGCGGCGCCCTCTGGGGGCTGACGGACGGACAAGTTGGTGAATGCACGATGGGGCAGCTCCCCACAAGCACAGTCCACAGGGGCTCCGGAGAGCCCGGGCGGAAGAGAGACGGCCGGACAGCACAGATGGGTGGGACATCTGTCTGAGGACACAAATAAAGTGGAAATGGTCAAGGCAATGGCACACGGAGCTGGCAAAGGACAGACCAAGTACAGCAAGAAGAACAAGAACAGGCAGCCTCAACTGGCAGAGGGGGGTGAGCAGTGAGCCACGGCCACTGTAAGGGCTGGGCAGTCTGACTGCTCCCCGTCCCCAGGTTCACGGAGGGGTGGACTTAGGGGACCTTTTCTGGTGTGATCATGTGATTCCTCACTGAAGGAGAGTGGGTTCTGCAGGAGTCTCCAGGGGTTTCTCCAACATCCAGTGAGCAACTAGTTAGGGAAAGAGAAGGTGAGGGCCAGCCCAACAAAGCATGTGTCCAGGGACCACGGGCAGCACTGCTGGGACACCCGGTCAAGGACGGGGGTTGAGACCAAGTGCAGAACCTGAGGCAAGCATCCAGTGGGGGCGAGAAAAGCGAAGTCCACATTTCACGTGCTTGTGACCGCTGGGTATACGGGCTGGCTGACCTGGGCGCTCCTGCACTTTCCTGGAAGGCAGCCCAGATAAAGCAGGGGCCGGGCTCTGTTGTTCTGACTTTATATCCAAGGCTCAGCCACTAGTTCTTCAGTTTCCTTGTCCAGACGCGTGGGATGTAAGATGCTGTCTTACAGCATTGGTTCTCAATAGGATATATTCTGAAGTTATCTCGGAAATACCTGGAGACATTTTTGGCTGTTCTAGCTAAAGGGGAGCTCCTGGCATCTTGTGGATTGAGAACTAGGGGTGCTGTACATGGTAGCCTACACGACAAAGATGTGTCCTGGCCTAAATGACAATCATGCATGGGTGAGAAACATTGCCTTCAAGGCACTGTTAATGAGGTAAGAAAGCATTTAAAACTAGGAACACTATAAAATATAAGGTTCTATTACTGGTAGAATGGTTTCTTTGATTCCAAGATGTTTTGTCTAGAAAATGCCATCTTGATTTGATGGTTACTTCACCAGAAAGCTCTGGTGGCCCAGTGGTAAGGTGTTGTGCTGCCAACCCAAAGGCACGCAGTACAAATCCACCAACTGCTCTGTGGGAGAAAGATGGGCAATCTCCTCCTATGCAATTTACAACTTCTGAAAACTTGCTATGAGTTGGTTCCGAATTGATACACCTAACAACAATAACAACAACAACATCTCAAATAAATAAGGAAACAATCACAATGAATGAATGCTGACTTTTCCAGATGTATCCTAATGACACAAATATCAAGACATAAGGAGGAAATGTACATTTTAGAATCAAGGAATTGGGCACCACTGTTAATGTGGTCACTGTGGGTGATGGGACGCCAGAGTTCTTACAATGACTCTTCCAGAAACACTGCCAAAACACTGGCACATTCTTGGTAACAAATAAGGAACAAAGTTGACCTGCTTTTGGGGCACCGGATATCTAGAGGTCTTGTGTGTAGACAGATGGACAGATTGACCTCCTGCCAGCCAGGTGTAGCATGTGAATGCCCCTGAAATACTTTTAAAATAACAGTGACAAAACAACACAGACTTACTTTTTCAGAGCTTCTCTCAGATTCTTAAATCTGCCCTCTGATGACACAAGCTTTTGGAGCTTATCAATCAAAGCTTTTGTCTAGAAGGAATTAGAAGCATTTACTCACACACAGTACATGTGGAGGCCCACGGCTCTGGCCCACACTATAGCATGCTTCCCTTCATGGCTCAGGTGAAGGAGATGAATCTTATTCTTTTTGTCTTGTGCAGGGCTGAATGGTTTTGGGGGACTTTCTGGGCCTGCAAACCTTATATATGAACAACTCTGGGGTCAGGTATATATCTCCATGTGTCCACACTCATGCACGTATCTTGGAAACACATGGACGTAGGGTGTGAGGAGCTGAGCTTTAATAGTTATCCTCAGATCTTGGGACCTGGACTTGGCAGGCAACCTTTAAATGCCTGAACACAGAGGAGAAAATGCTTGGATTTTCACGATCACAATTTTTGTCATGAACTATACTCAAACAATGAGATTTTCTTCTTATATTTTACTTCTGTATGCCAGGAATACCACTCAAATACAAGAATCAAGACAAGAGGTGGTCGATGATCATCAAAGACAGAAAGGCCTTACTGAAGAAGAAATCCTACTTTAAAGGCTCCTATCTGCTAAGTGACCAAGCCAAGCTGTGCCCACCTATTTGCTCAGAACAAATTTTCAGGAAGCTGGAACTTGTCTAGAAACAGTTGTGTATTGTTGAGAACACAATGATCTGGTCTGACTTCATTCTCCTTTCCCTGTGTGGCCTGAAGAGGAACTGCCTTTCCCTTTGGTGGCCTTAGTTCTCTCATTTATACAACAGTGACATGGGCCAGTGACCTCTTTTTTGGTTCTGCTACAAAAATCCAGAATGTGGCCAGGAAACTCCGATGGATGATGGTGGTGTATCATGTGCTCAGAAGGGCCCTTCAACCTGCATGGGTCACAGAGGCCAAGCAGATGCTAATTATTTGGATAAAATTTTTATCTAAGAAATCTGTCCATAGGAAATGGCAATCGAGCTCATCATTCTTCGGGAAGAAGAGATTAGTGTTCTTCAAGAGGAAAGTAAAGACAAATGAACCATTTAGCCCATTATCAACAATGAGAAGAAACAGAGCCAGGAGCTTAGGAAAGAACAAGAGTCAGGAAAGCCACGCTGGGTCAAGGATGGACGCTGCTGCTTTCATGAGTTACCTGGGGAAACCAGGCTGGCCCTCTCCCCAGGTCCCAGTTTCCCTCAAGGAGAAGGGGAAGGTGAGAACAATCTCCCCCTTTTCTTTTCCACCCAGACGCATGCTTTAACATGGCTCAAAGCTACATATAGGTCCTTTTCTGGGTTTCATCACTTACCCTTGGTGAACTCATGGCCTACTACTATCACTTTGCTGGGCCTCATCTTCCACATCTGGGAATTAGGAGGGTAGGCCCAGGTATGCCTGAAGAGCAAAGCTGGTTTATATATTCTACAATTACGTGCGACACAGAAGTGGGTCAGGAGGGCTTGGCGGCCAGGTAACCCTGGGAGAAGCTTCACCATGCTTAGAGGATATGAAAATGTACATTGAGAATTCTCTCTAATGGGTTTTCCAGTGGACACCTGGGAACAATTTGTTAGCCCTTAGCTGAGTAGACTTTGATTCTTTCTACATCCTAGTGTTTATCTGCTCTTACCTACTCCTCTCTGGGTTGTCAGTCTAGGAAGTAAGCTATGTGTACTTTACAGTTTTCCCATCTGCTGCTTATAATGTATCTTCCAAATTAAATCAGTTCAGTAATTTTCTGGCCAGGCCTAGAATGTCCAGTCACAGATGCTCACAGGACATCTGTCGATCTTGAGCCCCTTTGGAGTAAGGGCATCAGCAGGCTAGAATATAGAGATCCTTAGACTGTATCACTGAAGTCAGGGACAGAAGAAAGAATCTTAATGGAGGTAGTGTCAGGAAGAAAAGTGACTGTATGGTTTCCCAAATACTATCCCTTCTTGTTCACTAAAGGGAAGACTTTAGGATGGTCATGGCTATTCCTTCTCAAATTCATGAGGAGGGCAATTCGGGAGAATAGGCAAAAGATATTCCTCTTTATAACAAAAAATATTGTTAGCCAAATAGAAGCTTTTGCTTCCAACAAAATATGACTGTTTGTCTCTGGGAGAGGTAAACATACAAAAGGCTATGAATCATTTGTACCATCCCATGGAGTGCCACAGTATCCTGTCTTAGGGTAGTTACATTTTATTTGCAAAGAGGGTATAGATGGGGACTTGGAAGGATACAGACTGGAAGTCTTGAGTCAAAACTGACTGCTTAAACTCCTTTGCAAAGGGCTAATATGAATTAGCTGCTGAGGCTATAATTCAGGCTCTCAAGAAAATGTGGTTATTTTGTTTGATGGAATATATGCAGAGAAATAGTGAACCAACTCTGGCTGGTGATGACCTGGTAATGACCGTGGTCCCCAGAAGCCCTTGAAGCCAAGCATTATACAGATGTGAAACTATAGCACAAGCTGAGATGCTAGGAGAAGCCATCAGTGCTCAGGGTCTTAGAACCTCACCTGGATGTGCTGTCAGAAGCATCTTTGATTACTAAACTTGACCAGCCAGGCCAGGTTCCTGTATAATGTCCTATAGTGCAGGCCAGCTTTGAAGGCTAAAGTCACATGCCTTGATCTCTAATTGCCCTCAATTTGTAATCTTTAAAGGAAATGCAAGATTTCACACAGCCAAGGTGATTCCTCCAAATTCCATTTAGAGAATGATGACAGAGAATGAAGCCAAGAAATTAATCAGTCAATCTCCAGTGTAAAGTGGAGCCTGATCTTGAAGCCTTTGGAAAAAGATAACAACATCTAGTTGCTATGGGGAGGGCAAGCAAGTCAATGGCTGGGAATGGATCCCTCAAATTGCACTAGCCTTGTTTGAACTAGACAGGCCTAGTGAGCCTAGATGAAAGGCAGGCTCTGAAGCAGCCTTGCTTAATTTCTAACATCAGGAGTTCACAGTATGTGCCATATGTCGCCAGAAGTCCCTGCAGATCTGAGCTCCTCTGTTCCCAGCCACTATTCTTTGCAGGAACCCACTAACAAGAGAGGCATCTTCCCCTGATTCTAGTATTTCTGTGTGCCAAGAAGTCTAGCCTTACTTGGAGGCAAGACCAGAAAAATGAAGGTGAGTGTTCCAGAAGTCTGCTGCTGTGCTGGTGTAACAAGCTTGAGCGATCAAAAAGGCAAGGGAAAGAGAAGCACAGATAACTCAGGGCCATCTTGAGTTTGGTTGCTTATTCAAGTAGGAGGGATTCGTGGACCATCCTGTTAGCTGGGTAGGATGATGACCTGTCATTGTCATGAGGGGGTTAATGAGGAACAGGTGATGAAACAGTCCAAAGAGGGAGATGCAGTGTGTAAATCCAGAGTAGTCGAGATGAGGTAAGACCTATGGAGATACCAGACCCCACTCCACCCACCTGAAGGACTACGGAGATGACTGCCAAATAAAGTGTTCCTGGAGGCTTTCTAAGTCGAGTGGTGGTCCTTCTCCTCACCTCCGCCACTCATGCAGGCTTGGGTTGGGCATCCACCCAGCGAACTAAAGAAGTTACCTAAGTCCTTCACTGTGCATTCTTTGTAGGGGAGCTGCCCTCTGGTAACCTCAGTGTGTAGAACTTTATTAGCAAGAAAGAATCCACCTTATGGTTTTCCAAAACCATATTCTGAATGAATAAAGATCAATCTCACATTTAAGATGATCCGCTATCCAATAGACAATAAAGGACCATTTAAATCTCTGGTGGCCAGAAAGGTGGATGGAATTAGAATTTTAAGAAGAGACATGCAGAATTATTCGCCTATTGTCTTAGTGACCCTGCAGATCTGGGTGAGTATAAAAAATAGTGAAAAAGAGAGTATCACTTTTTTCTCCCCTCCAGCTCAAGGAGGAGAGTGTTGGGATCAATAATCACTGTCCAAATATATCCCACATCGGTTATTATTTAGTTGAGAATTAATTAAAGTACTATTGATCTCAACACCACAGCTTGGGCCTGATACCTCCTCCCAAGTGATAAAGGAAAAGAAAATGTCTGTTTTACTGGGGATTATTGATCTTCAGCCCTTTCACCCATCTCTGGACATCCAGTGACCAGATCTCTGGTCTCCTGGCCCTATCTCCAACGTGGTGCCAAACTCCTGTGCGTACCTGCTTAGAAACTTTGAGCCACGTCTTTTTGAGTCGGAAGATGGCACTCCGGTTCATGGATGAGGTGATCTCCAGCACGGCATTGTAGTTGTGTAAGCAGCGGCAAATGTCAGCAACAGCCACCCACTTCTCAATGGCGCTTACCCTTGCGTTGATGTCCTCATTGCGGATTATTTCAGAAGCAATCAAGTTACTGATCTTTAAGCCAATGCAATAAGACAGGGAAAAAGTGAGAGGGGATGAGTATTGTTGACATGTTTGACCTGTTGACATGATGACATGTTTGCTTGAATGAAAATCCCAAAAGAAAGAATTAGAAAACTATTAGAGTAAATAACAGAACTTTATAAGGTGGTTCGCTAAAGACTCAATATAAAAGAAAAAAGTTCTATCAATTATAAGTAGAAAATACAACGGGAAAAAATATCAACAACAGTTCTACATCACCTAGGAACTTAATAAGAACTAAGTAGACATGATAAAAAGTCATGAAAATATTTTAAAGGCTTAAACAATGAAGAAAAAGAACAGCTTTTTTAATAGGAATGTAAAGATGTAATTTTTCTCAAAACTAATACATGGAATGCAGTACAGTATAACACATAAAAGAGTTTTCTGAGAACTTGACAGAGTGATTACAAAGTTCATTTGGAAGAATAAATAGTTAAAATCCTCACGCTCTGAAGTTTTTCTTCCAACACACAATTAGATCTTGGATAAGGCATACATTTTAAGACATTACTGCTTCCACATTTAAGGTAGAAGAGGACTTTTTCTCCTAGCTTTAGTCCTGCACGTGCGTGCGTGTGGACAGAGAGAGAGAGGAGAGAGAGAGAAAGTCTCTGTCTTTCTCTTTCCTCGCTGGACCTATAACAGTCCTGGAGGAGGTAGAGAATAGGAAGCTGGAGTAAGAGTATTCATGAATTAGGATTATAAGGAGCTGGGGAAGCAGGAAGTTGGACTACACTTTCAGATACTGAAGAAGAACCACTTGCTCTGAGGCTATTTTTCCACAACTGCATTTTAAGGGGATCTCGAATTTTAGAACTGATGCAATGTGGAAGAGGTGGGAAGGCTAAACTGAGACACAAATCTTTGAAAGAGGTGGAAATGATCTTTAGATAGGAGTGTCATCCCTAGGCTACCAATAGATGCAGAAGCAAATGCTCTCTGGGGGGAAATTAAAAGGAAAAACAACTCCATTTCTACAAATTAACACCAAACAATAAGCTTAAAAAGTTAGCAAATAAGAAAGCAAAATATTCTGAGGGTGAACAGTATAAAGAGGAAAAGATTTAGATTAATAAGAACTTCAGATTTTGAAATTGTTCCAATACAGAATATGAAACAGCTATGTAGGAAAGACTTAAGAGGATGATGTTGTTAAGTGCCATCGAGTCTTAGATGACTCATAGCGACCCTATGAATGAAAGACAGGAGCACTTGTACAACTTTTATTGTTCCTCCAAGTTCATAGAGTTTCTGGAGGCAAGCTATTTCAGAAGTGGATGGCACTCCTGCTTCCAGGCTTGTTTTAATCAGGGATCTCCACCAAACACTTTCTACCATGGGTCACCATTATCGTATTTGACACATCAGTGTCACAGTGTTTAGCATCACAGCAACCATGAGTTACCTCTGTACAGCAAATTGACAGACCAGTGCTATACCACTTAGAGGATGTAATTATAAAGAAAAAGACACATAAAGAACCATTAAGGATATTAGATGCATTAAAAAAAATTATAGCCTTGAAAATAGAGTTATTGAAACAAAAACTTCACTTGGATCAGCAAAACAACAGATTATACATATTAGTTAACTAGACATATTTGCCCAAAAGACAACAGAGATGAAGCAATAGAAAATATGACATATTAGGAGACATGAAAATATGAGAAAATTTAATTGTGCTTTTGAGAGTAGAAAATAAAAACAGTAGAGACAAGACTGAAAGTGATAATGGGCATACATCTGTGGAAAACATAAACCTTCAGATCCTAATCAAAACCTGGGGGCCTAGTGAGTAAGGAGTTGTGCTTCCAACCCAAAGACAAGCTGTTTGAATCCACTTGCTCCTCTGCAGGGGGAAGATGGGCAGTCTGTTCCTGTGTGATGTCTATCCTCTGAAAACCCACTGGAGGGTTGGCTATGAGTTTGTTTTGACTCGATGGCACACAACAACAACAACAACAACAACAACAATCAAAACTAAAAAAAAAAAAGACCCCCCATGCCTAGAAACATCAAAGAAAAACAGTGAGATACAAAAATCTTTGAAATATTTATAACATCTTACACATTTCAGTAACATCTTAAAAGCAGCTGAGGGAAAGAGCAGATCACTTCCAAAGAACAACTGTTAAAATGACATTAGCTTTACAACAGTAATTCAGAAGACATGAAATAATAGTCCTATAGTGTTGAGGGAAAATGCTTGCCCACATAATATCATGTACCTAGCACAATTATCCTTTAAGAATGAGGATAAAACTGCAGTATAAATTGGAGTTAATTCTGTCAATTGTATCAAGTGAATGATCTGGTTTATATAGATAAATATACAGATAGAGATAGATATTGATATATATCTATATAGATAGATATATATTATAGATATACAAGATACCAACAATTGGATGGAGTAATTTCTTGACAAGTTACTGCAAAATATATTTAAAAAGAAAAAGTAAGAAAGAAAAAAGATCGAGGTAAAAAAATCAGGACGAAAAAGAATTATTCACAGATAAAAACTGCAGAACTTTACCACTAAAAGAAAATTTATATATTTTTAAATCATAGGAATAATTAAAAAATAATTTATATTTTAAATGAAATAGACATCAAGAAGAACGGATTGATCAAGGGGGAAGGGTGGAAGCAGAAGGATGTGTGTGGGGAATTAATCATGGGGTTGCACAATTTGATGGGTGCGGGACTAGGGAAATGTAAAGAAACTGGTGTGAAAAACTGCATTAGAATTTTGTAAATAAACTAATATATTAAAAAAGAAGAGTGGATTCAAGGATTATTTACAAATGGTATGAGATTCAAGGAGAAATGAGAATACAAAAAAGTATATATGTTATAAAAAAGAAAAAAGTGTATATATGTTATAATTCTTAATTAAGGCAACGATTAAATATTTTTCCACAAAACAAACACAAAATGCAAACAGCTAAATATAGTTAATTAATTTTTCAAAGAACAAATCAGTCATATATACACTTTCAGAGGCCTGAGGAAAAGGAGTATTTGTCAACTCATTTTTTTGAAGCCAGTATATCATATATGACTCAATCAGAAAATGATAATATAGAAAAGAGAAACTATACAACTATTGTTTAATATATCTGGACCATACTGAATTGTCCCTGGAATGCAAGGATGGTTGATTATTAGAAATACAACACAACAAAACAAAAACCCCTGCCATTCATCACATCAGCAGGCTAGAGGAGAAAAATCATTAGCTCGTCTCAACAGATGCAGAAAATGTAATAAAATTAAGTACTCATTTATGAAAAAAAACTTATTAGCAAATAGGGAATAGAAAATAGTTTCCTTAACTTGTTAAAGAAACAAGTATTATTCTAATTGGAGAAATATTAAAAACAAGGCCTTTAAAATCACAAAAGGACTCACTCTGTCCATTCTCATTTAACACTTTCCTGGTCAGGGTTGGGACTGCTGCTACTCTTGTGTGTGGCTTAGTCAGAACTGGCTCATAGCTGACCCTCCAGTGGGTTTTCAGAGGGAGTAAATCACATGAGAAGAGAGTGACCATCCTTCCATGGAGCAGCTGGTGGATTCTAAACTGCTGCTGTTGTTAGGTGCTGTCAATCTGACCATGATTTACAGCCACCCTATGAATAACAGATTGGAACCCTGCCCTATCCTCCTCCACTGTCCCCACTCCTGCATGACACTGTGTTAATCCATCTCCTTGAGGGTTTTCCTTTCTTTTGCTAGGATGAGGCAAATGGGTCACCAAGGGTGCAAATGCTCCCTAAAGTTTGTGCTTGCCTCATCTTACACCTGACTATTTAATTAGCCCATGTCATTCAATAAGACAAAAGGTTTGCAAAGACACGAAATAAAATTGTGCCAGGGAGAGATTAAAAAACACAGTTTCAGTCTTCTATGATAATCACTATCCTTAAGCTGCACTACTGTGTATCTGAAGAGAAAAAAAAATGAGACTTCAATAGAGATGGTCAAATGCCAAGTAGTTACAAGGCCAGCGTCTGAGGCTGAATGCATGGCTTCAAGAGGGAGTCCTCCTACCAGATAACATTGGGGGTAGAATTTTTCCTCCTGAGTCTCAGTTTCTTCATTGTAAGACTAAAAGAATGACATGTGATGATGCCTTTGAAACCCTCAGCATGGTGCCTGGTAAAGGGTAAAATAAAATCGGTACAGGTTCACTTCAGATTCTTGTCTTTGACTTACTTGAGTCTTGGGCATACAATAGCACAGTAAAGGGAGAGGTATAACTTTTTTTGTTGTTGTTCAAGTTATGTGTAAGTTGTAGTGTTCAAATTGTGGGTACAGTGCAGTCCAATTCAGTCTTCACTGTGTTTCCTGGGAGCTTGTTACATGTGGGGTCAGTTCTGCTGCTCTGCTCATGAGGGAACACATTCATTGGATGCTGAGAGCTGGGAGGCTCCGTGGGTTCCTCTCCAGGACTTTGTCTTCTTGGGGCCGCTCCCAGGATGCAGTGGGCATCCATGCATGTGGTTGACTGATGTGTCCCTGGCCAGGGCATGGGGACAAGTGGAATCATGCTCCCCCACCTCCGGTTATCAAAGGCTCTTTACTTGTGTTGTTGATTAAACTCAAGAGAACAGAAAATCTCTGCACGGCAGTCAAGAGGCCAGAAGTGTCTCTGTGGCTTTAGGGGTCAATTCTAGGCAAATCTGGGGAAGTTGCCTTGGGAGCTTTTTGTCCTTTCTTTCTGCTGTGGTGGTGTTGCAATGAATGGCCAGGAGCTTCTGCAACAATTTATGAACAATCTGTTCCCTTCTGGAGCTTCTACTCCAACAGCCACAAATTCTAGGGTTGATGTGAAGCTTAAATGAGATTATCATGCATGTAAAACACAGTGTGAAGTACAGGTAGGAACCAAGGTCAAGGGATTTACTGTTAACATTAAGGAGTCCTGGTGGTGAAATGGACTAAGCCTCAGACCACTTACTGAAAGATCAGTAGTTCGAATCTACCAGTTACTTGGCAGGAGAAGGATGAGGCAGTCAGCTTCCATAAAGATTTACAGCCTTGGAAACCTGTAGGGCAGTTCTACTCTGACTTAGAGGATCATATGAGTCACAGTCAACTCCATGGTAGTGGGCTATTACTTTCACCAGATAACTTTGTGACTGATCCCTGAGTCATGCTTGGAAGTAGGGCTGGACCAGAGGCCCCCAATTCTCTGTGGTTCTCAAGTTCCCCTGAGTGGGAACTCTGGAAGTCAGGGGGGGGTAGTGGTACACCCCTGCTTCAGTGCCCTAATCAGCCAGTCCAGATGTTCCAGTTCCATGGAACCTGGGGCAGAGGAACTAGGAAAGGGAGGAGAAGGATGAAAAACGCAGATACTGGGGTATTCTGATTCCACTCAGGGACACTCGTGAGACCTTGGCTTATACTTGGACTTGCTTATTACTCAGTTCTGTGGTCCTGGGTCTCTTTAATGTTATCAGTGGGATCATCTTACCCAAAACGAAAGGCAAGAAAGGAGGGTGGTATTTAGAAGATCTCTTCCTGGATGGTTGAACCCTATAGTCCAAAGTTTAGCAGACTTAGAGGACTTCTAGGTAATGCACATATTGGAGACAAATTGTCATTTTCAAGTCAAAGACAATATAAAAGACAATATAGAAGTCTTACTTGCTACTTACCAAAGCAGCTACTTCAAGCCACAGTCTCAGGCCGTGGGTGAGGCTCTCTAGATGCTAGTGCTGGGCTAAGTGTCTATATGATTGTCCCATTACTATTCATTGACTTCCTCATGATCAGCTCCATTTAACAGGAGAAAAAGCTGACTTAGGTAAAGCAACCAGCCTAAAGCCACCCAGGTGGTGGGGCTGGAAAGGACCCAGGTGGGACCTAGAGTGTCAAGGGTCCTGCCAAAGAAAATATGGAACCTTCTGCTCCATACTCACATCATTGAAGTGCTTAGTGGTTTTCATGATGTAAGGAGTCCTTTCGTTCTTTTCGAGTTTCATCCAGCCTTGTCCAAAGAATTCCCTATGGGAAGTAAGGGGAAAATACTAGATCAGATGATGAGATTGGGTTTGCCTTTTTGATGATTTTGTTTTACAGACTGAGGTTGTCATCTCTGGGTGAGAAGAGGCCCTGGGTTCAAGGTTAGCTTTACCATGTACCAGGTGTATGGCTTCAGGCAATCCCTTAATATCCTTGGGTCTTAGTTTCCTGTTTCCAGACAAGGTTATTGTAGGAGATGAAACAAGTTAAGATATGAGAAAGTAGCTCATAAACTATGAAATGAAATGGGCACATAAACTATGAACTGTGCCGGATACACTGGGTTTGTTCTGGATCTTGTTTTCTGACAGGGGAAGTAATATCTTACAATCACTTTGTAGCAGATGGTCTCAAGGGACCACTCTTGTAGCAGTTGACTGGAGGGAGAGAGGCCACAAAAAGGGGTCAGGTAAAAGGATTGACCAGCCTGCACGTCAATGTAGCCATGACTTCATGGAAAGTCCCAGACAGTCCAAACCTCCTAGAACTTCCTCATTTGACCACAGCTGAGAAGGGCTGGGCCACGGAGGATTCTGCCTCTCCTCTTAGAGGCAGAAAAGTCAAGAACTGGGAGATGTGGCAGGTTTCCAGAATGATGCTGTGCTCCACTTAGGGAGGGTGCTTGAGTGTGGCTGAGGGGATGGGAGGTATGTAGAGGCTGGGGTGGGGCACCTTCTTGAAAGTAAGGACAGAAAGCCTGAAAATGACACACCTTCTTAGATTAAGTGACTCCACTTCCAGAAGGCTATGCTAAGAAAAGATCCAGAAATTCAGAGGAAATGATTTTAGTTATGAGGATGTTGACCACAGCATTAAATACTAAAGTGAAAACCACCTCATAGCCTAATGCAATGTTAGGGAATACTGTGAACGTAATAAAAATGGGTTTTACAACAGACTTTCAAGGGAACAAAAAAAGAGACGAATGAACTGGGTGGGGGAGGGTAGAGAAAATAGTGCAACAATGAATGAATGGAAATCCAAAATCTTTGTAAATGTTCATTACAAATTATAAAATTTAATTAAAAAATGGGTTTTACAAATACTGTCTTGGCAATGATAGAAAAATAAATATGAGATTATTTAAATGTTATAATTACAATTTACACTCTTGGTAACAGCAGCCAGGAAATCAGGAGACGAATTGCATTGGGAAAGTCAGCTGTGAGGGACCTCTCAAGAGTACTGAAGTGCAACAACATCAGGCTGGAGACTAAGGTGTGCCTGATCCAGGCTATAGCCTTTGCCATTACGTGCTATGCATCGGAGAGTTGGACAGTGAATAGGGATGATAGAAAGAGAATTGATGCCTTTGAGTTGTGGTGCTGGAGAAGAGTGTTGAATATACCACGGACTGCTAGGAGAACAAACAGGTTTGTCCTGGAGAGGGTGAAGCCAGAATGTTCCCTGGAGTCAAGGATTCCAAAGCTTCGTCTGACATACTTTGGGCATGTTGCAAGGAGGGACTGGTCCTTGGAGAGGGACATCATGTTTGTCAGAGTGGAGGGATGGCAAAGGAGAGGAAGACCTTTGATGAGATGGATCGATTCTGTGAGTTGAGTGGTGGGAATGAGTGTGTTTGAGATGGCTAGGTTGGCACAGGATAGAACGGTGTTTAGGGCTCTTTGTACATAGGGTCGCTATGAATTGCAAATGACTCAATGGCACATAACATCAACAACAACAATAATTACAATGATATTAAAACAATATACTGAAAAAAAGAGGATAGTAAAAATATTTGGGGTGATTAACATCAGGCCAGAGCATGTAACAAAATGCAGAGCTGCCCTCAAAGCTTGCACTTGGGGTCTTCGGACTGTAGACACACAGGCGCACGCATATCTGTGTGCACGCTGGTTCACATGATTGTGTCATACACAGCATATACTCATCTCCCAACTTATCTCCAGAACAGGAGCTCAGAGTTAACGCCACTTCTAGAAAAGTATGTGTGTGAGACTGAGAAGCGATCTTCCCTCACTCCTGTAGACAGACACATGCATATCCCCCCGTCCCCTCCAATTGTGAAGAAGGCAAGAAGCGGCTCTGGGACTGTACAGTGCATGCTTCAGGGATGTTTCCAAAGATGGAACCTGGAGGGAGGAAGGAAGAGGGGGGCCTGGTACATGCTCCCACTTACTCATAGGGAATCTTCTTGAAAACGAGGTGGTCCAACAAGGTCAGCTGCTCTGCGATCTCCAGGGCTGAGTGGTTTTCAAAGGGCTCAGCCTTCACACCTTCAGCCTGAAAGGAACAAGGTCTCTGATTAGGTCCATGAAGGATACTGTGGATGTTTGGCCATTTCTCTGTGGAAATCTCAGAATGGACTCCAGTGAGTGACTCCTTGTGTGCCATCAAGTTGAAACCAACCCATAGCTGACCCTCCAGGAGGATTTTCAGAGGCAGTTAATCACACGGGAGTAGACTGCCTATCCTTCTCCTATGGAGCAGCTGGTGGACTTGAACTGTGTGCCTTTGGGATTGCAGCATAGATTCTTAGCAGTAGGCTACCAGAGCTCCCTAGTGGTGACTAGACCTGGATGAAGGTTACTGAGAAGTCCTCCCAGTAGACCAGGACGTGAAAGACGAAGGAAAAGGGATGAAAGGAGCCAAGTGCCAGCATTTTCTGATGCAGTGTGTGTACACTGAGTGTGTATGCTGCTTCATGAGGATCACCCTGTTTAGTTGACATGCACCCTGTAAGCTAGCTTTCATTACCTTTGTGATATAACTAAGAAAACTCAGCCCCAAAGAGGTTAATGACTCGCTCAAGTCCCTCAACTGTAAAGGGGCCGTGGAGACTGGACCCCAGGCCACCTGACACTGAGTGATGTTTTACATTCCTATCAGGTGCTGTCTGGATCGATGACTACATGGATTATCTTTACTTTTAAACTCCATCAGTAGGTGTGGAGTCACAGTTGTGATCAGCGCACACAGTATCAGAGGGAGCCTTCTGGCCTTGTCCCAGTGTTACCGTGTCTCTGGCCCAGGCTCAGTTGTGACACCACCTTTAGGGAGTCCCCTATTTGGGCCTGTTGCCTGGGAAAATCTTCAGGGTAACAAAGCAGTGTCCACAGCTAGGATTAAATTTAGATTGGGGGTGTTTGCAGGGCCCCAGGGAGTGGAGGCTGGAGGGAGCTGGATAAGGAGTGGGAAGGGACCACCACTGTTCTAGTCATTTTTGGATGATCTTTAGCAATATTTTGCATGCATGTGATATTAATGATATTGTTCAATACTTTCCACATTCTATTGGATCACTTTTCCTGGTAATGGCAACAAATATAGATCACTTCCAGTCAGTTGGCCAAGCAGCGGTTCTCCAAATTTTCTGGCATAAACTGGGGAGCACATCCAGGTTTATGTGTGTTAGCTAAAACATGTATCCTCTTGATTCTTGGGGTCTTACTTCTTTTGACAGCCCCTTCAGTGAAGCTTGAATAACTTCTATCATTATTGTTGGTTTTTGTTCATATGGTACTTCCTCAAATTTTTCAGTGTTAGCCAGTTCTTTTTGATACAGTGACTCTTGTGTATTCCTTCTACCTTCTTTTGATGCTTTCTGTATCATTCAAGATGTTGCCCATAGCATCTCTCAGTATTGCAACTTAAAGCTTGAATATTTCAGTTTTTTTCAACTTCAGAAATGCTGAGCTAGTTCTTCCATTTTTATTCTCCAATTCCTATTCTTAGTGCATTCTGTTTTAATACATTGCTTTGTCTTCTCAAGCTGCCCTCTGAAATTTTTTATTTGTCTCTTTTATACCAGAAAACAGAGTCCCAGGCTTCAGGAAACTCTGGGCTAAGGAGTTCCTAGTCCAGTGAGCAGAGAAGGGACAGAGACTAAGAAAACAGAGCAGGAAGCATCCAATCCTGACTCTCCCTGTGTCAGGACCATTCTGACAGTCAGTCACCCAGAAGAGGAACTAGTGAGGACAGAAGGCTAGATGCCCGAGACAGTATGGGTGTGAAGACACTATGCCTTTGAAGAAAGACTTGTTTGGGTGTGGGAGACATATGCTTCAGAGGAAGATGAGTTCTCAGAAGGATCAAGGTCATATAGGGACAAGAGCAGCAGGGCCTTTTGGTTCCTCAGGATGAGGTCCCCCTGTGTGCTCACAGTAAGGAAGCCCCCAGTCTTTGAAGCAGGTGCGTGCAGGCAGGCAGGCAGGCCTTATTCATTTGTCATTCCTCTGCTGGGGTGTGTGGCTGGGCCCAGGAAGGCAGACCTATCAAGGGCCACTCTTAGCTTTCCTTGTGGTGAGATGGGGGTTGGGGTGGGGCACAGTCTAGTGGTCCTGGCTTCTCTGACTGAAGGCCTGCATCAGCCTCCTGACCTGCAAACCACATACTAAGAAGAAAGAGGAGGTGGCTGCATCTGCTCCCTTTTTTGGTGGAAAAACCCAGAACCCACAGCTTCTTCCTCCTTTTGTAGACATACAGACTTCCCAGCAGGAGGCCTGTCTACTGAGGTCTCCTGGGACCTCCTCACATGGGGCCCACCCTCTTGGGGGCAGCTCAGTGGGACTTTGTTCTGGGCAAGACCGAGGCTGTTCAAGAAAGAACAAGAGGCCCTCATGCACTGGAGAAGTCAACAACCTGCCAGGCCCAGAATGGCAATGTGCCCAGAGTACACTCAGAGGCGTAGGTGGGATGTGGCAGGTGGGGCACGTGCTTGGGTCCCCACTCAGCAGTTCTGTTTGTCACGGGAGGTTCCATCTCCAGCGGTGAGTGATTGCTCTGCAAGTAAAGCCAATTGTTGTTGACCCCACAGGCTGAGTGTGGTGTGTTCCCCTTCAGGGCCCGCCCAAGTGGTGCTCTTCTTTCTCAGATTTAAGCAGGGTCTGGTGTGGGTGTCCGGGGGGGGAGACATCAAGAGTCTGCAAGTTCAGGTCCTACGATCCTACACACTCTACTTCAATGCCCAAGGGGCAGGTGTGGCTCACTGGGTGCTGCTCTCAGGGGGCAGGTCTAGGCTGGATCGTGGGCAGGATTCAGACCTGGGTCCTCTTGCTCTGGAACTGGTTAGTGGCCTCACCTCAGTGTTGGATTATCCAACAAGGGAAGCACAGATTTATTTGTGCTTAATAATATGTAGAGAATAATCTCACACAGAGTCACCAGACAGGGCCTCATGCTTACCCAGGGGATGGAGGGCAGGCTCCCAAAGCCAAAAGGGTTCACTGGGAGGTGAGGGGAGTGGTGAACACTGTCCTAAATCCTTTCTGACAATCTCTAACAGACTGGAGGTCACTTAGTTTGAGAAGTGGGCCTGCCTGGGGCTGAGAGGCGGTGCTGTCTGGACGTCTGGTGATGGTGGTGAATCAAGGGAGTCCATTGTGAGCATTTGGGCTCCATGATGTCAAGGCTGAGGGCTCTGGGATGGCTCATGGTGACATTTCAGGGCACACACTGATGGTCTGGGAGCAAAGTGACTCTAGCCAGGCATCTGTAGTTTGTAACCTGGCATTCCCTGCTGAGTGTGCGATGTCTCCAGGGGCTCATACCCTTGTGGGGAGGCCTGACTCCCTGGGAGGAGCTGATGTGAGGGATGCACTGAGCCCTGAGCAGAGTGCCAGCTCTGCCTCTGTTTACAAACATGCGTCACCCCTTAACCTTCCTGAGCCCCAGCTGTCTTATCTGTGAGATGGAGACTGAGGTAGAAACTTGCATTGTTTGAGAAGCGTGAGTCTTTAGGGGTCCAGTCCCGTGCCACAGGGACCCTCCACCAATCACTGTTCTTCTGCTTCTCCCTCTAGTGCAGGAATTGAGCAAGAGCAGGAAGGACAAGGGGATGGGACTCCCGGGGGTCAGACAGGTCAGGAGAGGGCTGAGGAAGGACAGCTGTGGCTAGAAGGAGAGGGTGAGCCTGGTTTACCATCTGTGTGATCTCCTCCAGCGTGATCTGGTTGTCGCCTGGGTCCTCCTGGGTCAGGGTCCTGGGGATGAGAAAGCACTATGAGTCTGGACTTGGTCCCTACCTCTCTCCAGAAGCCTCTGCCCCAGCAAGACTGTGTAAATGCTCTCAGAGCTGTTTCATGTCTCCGGTTCTCCTTATATCATCCGTTGCCTCCATTCTTTTTTCATGGACTTTCTTGGGACTCGGCTGGCTGGCCTCCTGGGGAGGGTCCCATCCAGGAGGGGGTCACTTTCCTTCAGGACTCAGCTGGCTAAGCCTCTGGCTGAGGCCCCTTCCCAGCTCTCCCTCAGTTCCTCGGTCTTCCACCATCTCAGCCCTGGTCATGTTCTGTTGGGCCAGCTGTGTGTTCGCCTGGGTGGGGAACCTCTGAGGCCAGGTGTGTGTGTGACCATCCTGATGGCCCTGTCCCAGGAGGCCGTCCTGGCCCTAGCGCCCGAGATTCTGGATTACCTGATGATGTTGGCCGCAGCCTTACGCTCCTGGGTCAGGAGCTCCGGGTCGTGCATGACCTCCTCCAGAAAGCTGATCACCTTGCATTTGAGCTCGTCATTGGTCTCAAAGTCCTGTGGGACAGTGTGATGAGTGGCCCTGGCTCTCGTTTTCAAGCTGCCTGGCTATGGTCCTGGCCAGGCCAGGGGAAAGGTGCTGAAGTTCCTGTCTCTGCCCACAAATGGCTCTGCTCCATTTTCCTTAGGCACCAGGCTAAGCCCACAGACCAGCCCTTAGTCAGCTGTACCTCTCAGTCATAAGGGACATACCTATTTTGTACCCTGATGCAGACAGAGGTGAAGGGTCAGATCCTGTGTCTCCTCAATGTTGTTGACTCCCCCTTGAGGGATCTACTCAGAGCCTTCAGAGATTATCGGGCAGAACCCCCAAGCTCCTCCCTTCTGTCACCCCACTAATGACCTCATTTTGCTCTCGGGGGTGCCTGGTTCCCAGGCCAGTTCCCTGTGGCCAGCAGCAACTCCTCCTAGGGAGGCCCTGTCTTCAGCACCCCCACCTGGGGAGAGTTCCACCTGAGGAAGGTCCCACCTGAGGAGGGGCTCACCCACCTGTGAGTGCTTGGAGACCCAGTGGCGGAGCACGTTGAGGACACGGTTGGTGGCTGCTCTTCGGATCACGAACTCCTTGTCTCCATTCCTTTGGTCTGGGGGGAACCCTGGCAGCATGCATAATAGAGGAAGAGGGCCGTGAGGATGAGGAAGAGAGCTTGGCTCTTGTCTGCATTCAAATTCTGTATTGTGTTAGGCTGGGCTGCCTCGGAAACAGCTGTGGGCCTGGGGACATCAAATATCTAACAACACCCAAATGCTGATCCATTAAGACTTCTCAGTGGACGCAGTCCATAAATTCCCGTCTCCACCAGGCCTCCCCATATGCTCAGGGGGTTCTGGAAGATAGAGGCAGCCCCCCTAGACAGGGCCACACCATCTCTTCCCAAAGACCGGAGCCTCTCCTGAAGGATCCACCTGGCAGAAGAGGGAGGTGGGAGGGACTAGTCCTTTCTGCGAGGATGAGGGTAACAGAGCATGGATCCTGAGGGCAAGGGGCTCTGTTTGAAGCAGGAGTAGAAAAGGCGGATGAGTGGAAGAGAAGGGACCTCCAGGCAGATGGGAAAGAATTAGTAAAGACTACAGGATGGGCCGAGGAGATGAGTTTGAAGTGGCTGGAGGCTAGGGCTGGGTGTAGGAGGCAGTGACATGCCAGACCAAGCGGCCTAGGTTTTATCTGGCTAGAGATGGGAGCTGAGAGGTTGGGGTTCTGGGGTGGAGGGCCAGGATGGGGTGCAGTGCTAGGCAAAGAGTGGCAGGATGATGGGGGCTGTGACTCAAAGCCTCAATAAATGGGAAGGCCGCCAAAGTCTATGCAATGACATAAGAAGCTTGGCTTCCAGTTAGTGATAAATTAGCTCTTTCTGCTATGAGTTTCATATCTGAAGGGGTAAATTTTTGGGGTTGAGGCTGTAATTTCCATTGGTGACCTCCCCTTGACATGGGCCTCACAGGGTGGGGACTACCTAGGGGAGAGCCTTGAGGATGCAGAGCACCTGTGACATACCTGCGCTGGCTAAGGACATCCTCCGATACTTCTCCTTGTTTGGGGTGCCCTCGTTGGCTCCCGCCGTTGCTATGGCGAAGGCGGAAGCAGCAGACAGGGCACTGCGGTTACTGTCCAGTTCTCGGCAGGAAGTCATGACAACACCATTATTATAGGCAAAGAGTGGGAACTCTGTGGAGAGGATGGAGCCATCTCTTAGCTTTTCCTGGTCCCCATGGGCTCATCCGCATGGTATGATGGAACGTGCACTGCACCAAGTCTGTTTACCTGGGGCCAAATTCTAATCCCTGCCTCACTAGCTGTGTGTTCCTGGGTAAGTTACTTAACCCCTCTGAGCGTCAGTATTTTCTGCTGGATAATAGGGAAACTAATATCCATTTTTAAAAGTCTTAAAGGTTAAAGAACAAAGATGAATAGTGAGTGAAAAGCTACATAAATGCCATTAAGTATTACTTCTATTAACGACAATAACTATTACTTTATAGTGGTAATAGTAGTAGACTCCAGAAAACTTTAGCTTCATCTTACAAGTTTCTGGAAATAAATTCATGCTCTGTCAGGACAAAGTAGGGGTATTTAGGCTGTGAGGAGCAAACGGCTTATTCTTTGATTTGTAAGCTATTTTTAAATGAATTTTTTTAATGCTTTGTTTAAAAAAAAATCCAAGATGTACATCTGAAAATTGGATCTCCATAGCTTCTCTTTTGTGTGGCTTACAGGCTATGGCACGGCTGCAGTTTTCTTCTAAAGTTAGGTGACCCTGTAACCTATCCGGTTTCTTCCGAAGGCCTGGATAGTTGGGGAATTCGGGATTCAGGCTGTGCCCTGGCTTTGGACGTGGGAGTGGGGCCCCGAGGAGGCAGAGGCAGCCACCCAGGGAGCTGGACCCCATGAACTCCCGCTCCACCTTGAGTATCTCCAGGCCCTCGTGTGTTGAGGTGCTTGGTGAGAACTGGAGACTACGATGACTTCTAAGGACCTTTCAGAATCATGAGTCTGAGATGCTGGATGAGCAACATCACAAATGTCCTAATCTTTTTCCTTACTTGACAAATAGTCCCTCTACAAGGTTGTCAAGATAACTAAAGGGCCCAACAGAGTCTGACAAGGACCTGGAGCTTAAGCACCCTCGGAATCTGCATTGTCTATGAACAAGACTCTGGGTCTGCCTGCTCACCTGGTGGATTGGATGCATTCTTATCTGAAGATGGGGTCCAGCTAGGTCGAGTTGAAAAGTAGGGCCCAGGCAGCCAACACTGGGGCCCTCACCATCTCCTCAGGGCTATGGATTATCAAGATTATTGTCCTTAGGACTCACTCTTGAAGCTTAAGGATACCATCCACTGACCTTGCCTGTACTTGACCTACTGCCCGCTCCCAAGCTTGATCTGACCCATCCTCTAAGGATCTGTGTGTAGGTCAGGGCTGGCAACTTATACCTGAAGAATTTTTGCTTTTGGTTGATTTTGGTGTTGTTGGAGACTTAGTTGGTGAGGTCTCAGTATCACCATCATCACTCTGGTTTTGATCAGTGTCTGACTCCTCCCTCATGGAGACTTCTGAGCCTGGGCACAAAGAAGGAAACAATTTTACTTTTCTCCACTATTCATTGATTTTGACATTTTTGTCTATTAATTATGGATGCCAACCACATTAAGTTTGGGGATATGCCCATTGATCAGTGTTTAACAGCTTTATTTGTGGATGGACTTACAGGAATCTTTCATATACTAATGAGCACTGTCCACCTCCTAGATGACCTGCTGTCGTCGAGTCCAAATCCTAGTGACCCTAAGGACAGAGCAGAACTGCCCTGTAGGGTTTCTAAGACTGGACTCTTTACAGCACTGGACTGTCTGTGCTGTCTCCTGAGGAGTGACTGGTGGGTTCAAACCTCTGATCTTCTCTGATGGTTCATAGCCATGCAGTTTACTACACCACCGGGATTGCTTCTGTGCTCTTCCCACACTCCTCAAACTTAATGTGCACGACTGGGGCGGGGGTTTGTTAGAATGCAGATTCTCATTTGGGGGCTTGGGTGGGACCTCCCAGGCGACGTTCACATGGTGGGTGCAGAGAGCATACTCGGAGTAGCAAGGTCCTAGTTAGAGTGACCATCCGTCCCCGTGTGTCCCGGACATTCCTGCTGTTTCCCTGTTGTCCTGGTACCCTTGGCATTCCCTAACGTAACATGGTTTGGGCAATCAGCCACAAGGGGAACCCTCAGTGAGATGGACTGACAAGACAATCACAGTGGACCCACACATGGTCACCAAGAAGGTGGAGGACTGGGTGGTATTGTGTTCTCTTGTACAGAATGTTGCTTTGAGTTGGAACCAACTCAATGGCAACTAACAACAGCAATCTTGGGAAGAAGCTGATGAATTATATTCAGAGTCTAGCTCTGGCACAGAGAGATCTTGGTCAGAAACCTTGAGCCTCTCTGGGCCTTGGTTCCACAACTACAAAATAGATGGAAATAGAATTGACTCTTTGGAGGACCACACACACACACACACACACACACACCCCAGACCCAGATTTCTGATGGCTGTTCTGCATTCCATTTCATAATGTGACAGCCTGGGGTCCACTCAGGGGAAATCACTTTAGGTTCATGTCAGATGGATTCTGTCCCTCCCCCCAGTCTCCACAAGGCTCCTGTAATCTGCATCTGCAGGATGGCATCTGGGGCTCTCTGGTGGGCCGTTCCCTTGGTTACTGACTTTCAGCTGCATATGTCATCCACACACTGTGCCTCAGTAAATGTCACTTGGCAAAGGAGTCTCTTGGGGGCTTGGCCCTTCCCCAACTGTGACTTCTGCTGGGAGTGTTCTCTGTCTCCTCTCAGAGGGGGAGTGATGCTGACTGTCTTCAAAGTCTTTTTCAAAGGTCTCCTCCTCAAAGTCTGGGCCTTCTGACTAGCTCAGCATTGTTATGGATTTGCTTTTAAGTGGCTGTGCATGTCCTAACCAAGACAGACATTGGTATCTTGATCAGATTTAAGATGCAGCCACACCATTCCACCCCCACAAATGCTCTTCCAGAAGGATTTTCCAGGAAAGGGTCTGCTCCAGTATTATCTCCCCCAGAGCCCATGTCTCAGGTACACTGAGTTTCAAGCTATTCCCTGAACATACAATGCTGTTCCTTGCTCTTCAGTCTTACAGTCTACTCACTTGGTCCACAATGGTTTCCCTCCCTCTGCTGGAGAAACCGCGATTGAATGCACCCTTTAGGAAACCTTTTGTGATTTACCCTCACTTCTTGCACTATGCCCCTGAAGCACCTCTCTACCATGACAGGAATCTATGTCCAGGTGTTAGTGTCTGGTCTGGCTTCTCAACAGACTGGGGATCCTGGAGGGCAGGAATGAGATCTGATTCTGTTTCTGTCCAGAGCCTTGACTGCAGCTGGGTGCAGAGAGGGTGTTCAGGCTATGTCACTACATAGATGGGTGACAATGCAGGACTCAGGATGCAGCTGCAGACAGAGCAGGAGGAGCTGATAGTCATCTAAATAAAGCATGGCGATGCCCTGCAACTGCCTACTGGCCTCCCTAAGCCTGGGCTCCCACATGGGATTCCCTGATAACCCCTCTGCAATGCCTGGATGCTGTACTGCTTTCAGGTCTGGCTGGGCCCCTGAAACCTTTTCTCTTTTGTCCCACTGGAGCTCCAAGGAGCAGCGCCAAGGCCTAGCTGGGTTGGGCCAGGTGGCTCTGCCCTCACGGCTACTCACTTTGCTTGCTGAGAATTGAAGAGTCCTCAGTCTTCTCAGTAGTGGAATCACCCTCATCTGGAATTTTATTGGTGAAGCTGCTGGACACGTAGAGTTTGCTGGTGTCCAGCGTGGCCTTGCTGAAGGGCGACATGGCTGAGTACATGCTGGTATAGCCATTGGAGTTGCAGCTGAGTGCGGCCAGGTCAAGAGCCTTGCCACCTGTGATGATGGGGATGTTCAAGGAGAGCTTCCGTCGGCGGCTGGGAGACGAGGTCTTGGTGATGGACAGGGGTGGTGGTGAGGAGAACTTGCGGGTGGCGCGTGGGGACTTGGGAGGGTCACCATACAGAAGCTTGTTGTTCTGGCCGCTGGCAAATAAGAGCTCCAGAGACCTGTGCGACAGGGGTAGAAAGAAATGGTCAGGGCAGGCCTGATGATGCCCAGGCCTGGGTGAGCCTCCTCTGTCTGCATACAGTGAGAGCAATGGCTCCCTTACTGTCACCATCCCCGAAGCATGCACTAACTTTCTGAGCAGACCAAAGGTCCTTGGGATGAAAGCTTTATGGTTAAATATCTAAAACACAAGTTCCCTGTAGACCAAAGCTCCTTGGGATGAAAGCTTTATGGCCAAATGTCTACAACACAAGTGCCCTCTTCTTGACAGATGAGGTGGGCCACATGAGACTTTTGTGGTATATCTAATGCTCCCTCTTCTGTCCCAGAGGTATTAAGGGCTCTGCATGAATCCAGGCTTCTGTGAAATCTCCCTCCATCTCACACAAGGGCCTGGTTTCAGCACTACACTACCTTCATTCTTACAGAGCCCCTGAGGGGTGCTGTACAGAGGTTCAGAGATGGGAAAGGACTCTATACCAAGAGGGAAGGAGGGCTGGAAGAGCAGTCTCCTGGCACTTTACCGTCTTCCTAACAGGGCCTACAGCTCAGGGCTTGGCGAGAAATAGGCTAGGTGTTCTTAATATTAAAAGAATAGCTCACATGCACTGACTTTGCTGGCTCTATGCTACCTTATTTCTTTCAACTCTCACTTCCTACAGAGAGACCTTTGGTGGTTTAGTGGTAGGGAGTTGTGCTAACCTAACCTAAAGGCAGGCAGTTTGAGTCTACCACTGTTCCTTGGAGAAAAATACAGGGTAATCTCCTGTGTGATTTACAGCCTCTGAAAACCTGCTGGAGGGTCAGCTATGAGTTGGTTCCAATTCGACGGTTGTTGTTGTTGTTATGTGC